TGGGGGGGGGGGGGGTGTCAGCTTTGGGCAAGGCTCGAGGCCCTCGCCCCTCACCTCTGTGCTCCGTGGGAGGCGGAGGGAGTGATGAGCCTTCCCCACTCTTCCCAGGTATTCTAGAGATAACGGCAGTGGAGGTGGGCATTGTGGCCATCAAGGGGCTCTTCTCCGGGCGGTACCTGGCCATGAACAAGAGGGGACGGCTCTACGCATCGGTGAGTCCAGTCTCTCCTGTGGGTGGGCCCGGATGGAGCTGCGGTCCCCTGGCCTAGAAGCCAGTGCTCCCCAAAGGTGGAAGGCTAGAGCTGTTAGCTCTCAGGAGGGAGCCCAGAGGCAGGGAGACGGGACCCACGTCCCAGGCACACCTGCTAGAACCCAGTCTGTCCACCGCCTGGGACTCTGTGGGCCTTGGCATGTCCTTCCCCCAGGGCGGGGGCGGGGGCGGGGGATACATGGAGTAAAGTACATGGAACTAGGAAATTTGCTCCCTCCAACTAGTCATTACATGCAACTCGGCCGATACCTTCTTGGGCAATGAGAGGTTTTCCATCCACACGTAACCTAGGCGACGCAGCCCCAGGACCATCTCCACACAGTCATCTCCCTCCATCGGCGCTTGCGAGGGAAACACACCACCACTTCCTGCCCCTTCTGCAGTCAGGCAAAGCGCCGTCCAGAAGAATTGCAGAAATACCCGCCTTTAGGCCGATTATTTCATCGCACATGTTCTGCTGAGGGAAAGGCGAACGGGAATGCTCTGGCCCAGCGGGACAGAGGCGTGTCTGGGAGGAGGGGCCCTCTGGTGCCCAGCCCCTCACACAGCAGTTGTGGTTTACTGGACAGGCCCCTAGCCCGGCTGAGTTTTCCCTGAGGGAGTGTGGCTTCCCAGGCCCGTGGGCACTGTGCCCCTGGCGAGTGGAACTGACTTTCTGTTCTTGAAAGGACCTCAGACCTGTCCCTTAGAGAGAGGCGACCCCAGGGAGGAGGTGCAGGTCTGACCTCTGAGGGCCTCCCGTCCACACTGGTGACATCCATGAGGGCGGGGCAGGGAAGGCTGAACTGAGAGGGGAAGCCTAAGGCTCCTGCCGTCTCTTTCCTGGGCAACCCAGGCCCCGGGCTTTGGGGGCAGAACAAAGCATGGCCTGAGTGATCCCAGTGGGTCAGAGCCCCCCTGTGGCTTCTGTCCCCAAGTGTCATGGCGTTGGCTTTGGGAAAGGAGGAAGAGAGGTTTGCCTCATGGGCGTAGCCAGGAGGTCCAGTGGAAGCGATGGGGCTTTGCAGAGCGTCAGCAGGAGCGGTCTCGCTGCCCTGCAGAGACCTGGGGGAGGCAGCCAGGTGCCGCGCTGTGACTGCCCCTGCATGTCCCCATCCTAGGCGCCGCCAGCTAGCCCGCGGTGCTGTTCCCACTGCCCTGCCTCTTGGCTGTCCGGGTCCCCTCGTCTTTGCCGTCAGCCTGCCGGTCACCTCCCCAGGCCAGCTCATCCACTTCCCTGGCTCAGCGGCCACTGCACCCCGACAGCTCCCAATCCCAGCCCTGGCTCCCTCTGAGTTAGAGGTCACCCCTGTAAGCCCTGGTGGCTCAGAGGCCCCGGCAGAGGGCAGCACACCCCAGCTGGACACCGCAGCTCCCCTAACTCCCCTACCAGCCACTCTCTCAAGCCCAGGGTCAGCTGGGTGTCATGGTGGATGCCTCTTTCTCTCTCAGCCCCACATCCAGGCCCTCTCCAAGTCCTAGACTAGACCTCCCGATCTCTCTCTCTTCCATCCATTCCCCTCACCTCCCTGCCTATGCCACTGCCCTCGTGTCTCAGGCCCTCATCACCTCCCACCTGGACCATCACAACCTTGGGGCGGGGCTACTGGCCTCCAGCCTTGCACCCTCTTCCAGTCCTCTGTCCATCCACCCATCTATTCATCTATCAACATCCACCCACTTATCTATCCATTCATCCATTCGTCTGCCTGTCCTCCCTCGCCCCTCCCTCCATCCAGCATCCATCCCTTCATTCACAGGTACTTGCTGTAGGTCACACTCGGTGTCAGGTCTTGCTGGGGTCTTCCTGCACTCAAGCAGCTGCACTCATGCAACTGTATAGTGTGGAGGTTGACATTGAGCTTCTGAGCCCTGAGCCCCCACTTGTAAGGGAAGAACAGAGAGGGGCTGGGCTTATGGGGAGAGGTACCCCCAC